CTCCACCGCCGCTTACGGCCCCACGTGGGACCGGACTGAGTGAGCCGCTGGGAGATACCACTGATGGTGGCGGAAATGCCACTGTGACTCCCGAGTTCGCTACCTTTTGTAAAAGCGTAACGTCGAAGGGCGAGGACGACCTTGATCTTTTAGTCTCCACACCTGACACTAGCTCAACTTTCCTTGCGAATCTCAAAGCTGCCGGTTTGAGTCAGTCCGACGCAGTCGGTGATTCCCCGATTCAGGAGATTGGCGGTGATGTAGAGATGGAATAATACATCGACCAATTACAGTGCTATTTCTCTTCCTCCCGATGTACCTTTTCTCCTTCATCTGCCTGTTCCTCCTTTAGCTCCGGTCAGGCTCATATCTCCCCTCGTGCCATGTGGAGGGGAGAGAAAGGAGTAGAGACTTGCCGCCTCCCCCTCGTTTTTACAGCCCCAATTTTTGTAATGCTCCTGCAAAAAAACAATCTCGCAAACCTCGCCTGTGTACAGAACCTCTCCTTCCACTACCCCCTCTCATGCTGCTATGACCCAATGCTCCAATGTTCGTCTTTTTCACTCCCGATTTGTGCCCAAAGTACAGATTTTTGCAATTGCGCTGCGGAGTGCTTCCAATTGTATAACTTTTGCCGCTTTTAGGGAATACTGATAGGGTGGGGGTGGCCAGACTGAGTGCATGTGTAAGAGAACATTTTGCAAGAGTTCACTGTGCCGCTTCTGGTGGCTTCCACAACTGGGTAAAATCTGCTCGAGTTTGCGTCTCCAACCGCCTGCAGGTGAGCCTAAACAACGGGCTGTATCTGTAGCCAGTCTAGTTTTCGAACCAGCCGTATGTGCCGGCGCAGGCACTGCCCGCGACTTCGATTACCGCCAAGTTTGATTGGTAGAGACAGCAACATTCAACTTTGGGTCAGTAGTCTGCGTTCACTTTGTCGCTGATTGATGACGGCAAGATGGTCATTCCAGTGCCCCTTCTCTATTTTTGACCACTAGTCGCCATGTGCGACTTCCCACGTGGCTGTAAACCTCCAGCTCCAACATGCAATGGAAATGCCCGTTTCCGTTCTGCAATCAGCGGCACGCCATTACCCATGCAATCCTACTTTCGGTTGAGCTCCTCAGCATTGTAGCTAGCCAGAGCGCGGAGCTCGC